TTATTATTTTTTACGTTATTTTTTCCTTGTTGAAAAAATACTTAATGAAAATGTTCGTTTAATAGAGCTTTCACTGTATTCACAAAGGATTTTCTTCGTTTTATGAAATACGGTAATGAAGTTTTAAGTGATAGTTCTCTTAATGTCATTTCAACAAGGAAAAAATAACGTAAAAAATAATAATATTATAGTTTTGCTCATTATTATCACTTTTATATATTTATGTGGTGCCGCGTGTACTTACAGGTTTGACGCCCGCTTGCTTTTCCTTTACTTATATAATTTCTAAACACCGACACTTAGGACAGAAATACACAATATAATCATATAATATTCAAGACGACGCCGCGCCGAAGCAAACCGAAAATAGCAACTGTCGCCAATTAAATAACTAAGTTCTATGTGACACTTGTGCGAAATTAATTTACAAATACCCTGCACTACGTTACGCAGCAAAACTATAGAAAAGTGCAAACGTCTTCATAAACTCATTTCTATGTAAATACAAGTATTTACAAATGTATATATGGATGTGTGTATAAGTGTATGTGTGTATGCAAATTCCACAATCGTTTGGAATCGACAATGCAAGTATGCTCTACTGTATTTTGCTGTCTCGACGAAAGCCTCCTCACACGCCTATGACTCAGGCGACCAATTAATTATTGAAAGAGAATACGATCAAAAGTAAACGCGCAAAGCGAATATATAAACCGGCATTTTTTCCACTAACGAATATAGAGTGCATGTGTAGGTATGTGTGTGTGTCGGTATGTAGGTAATTTGCCTCAGACGAAGTTCTATATGCAAAATATACCGGCAGGTATACATAAGTACCAGACGTATTATGGTGTGGTAGTACAGTGGGTTTAACGATCCTTGGGTAAAGATCGTATTTTAGAGCTCAGAGTACAACTTTATTGCTTCTACATACCTTTAAAGCAATTACATATCGTAAGTCTCTATGTGTAAATGTGTAAAGTCGAAAAGTTTTATTGCATTCATTTGCAGACTCGTGCCTACAGCAAACCCAATAACATTTATACGGGAGCATGTACAAGCATGTATGTATGTATGTATGTATTAAAAGTGCAACAACAAAGTATTACAATACGGTAAATAAAGCAACCTTCAAAAAGGCGTAATCTTCCATCGTACTTTCAACTGGGGTTCGGCAATCGATGACCAACGGACAAGAATTACTTCATCACCCGAAATTGATGGAAGAAGTAACGTGCACAAAAAAAAAACCATTTACAAAAGTTAAGACGAATTCGGCTATAGCAACAGGAGAAAATTGCATACATATTATGCAAAATGAACAAAAAAATACAAAAACAACAAAAAACGTATGCGCACTAGTTGAATTGATGGAGCTCTAGTGGAAGAATGCGTTTGTAAACTCATTTTTATTTTCCGCTTTTATTAATTATTATATAAAAGAAAAAGTAAAAGGGAAAAAATAATAACAACTTTAAAAGTAAGAGCGAAATTGAAGGCAAATGTACAAATCAACAATTTTCAACAATATACTTATATTATTGTACATACATTTATACATACATACGTTCATGTACACATAGACATACATACATAGGTAGGAAGGTAACTCTATATACAAATAACATTGTCAGCAACAGTAAAAGTACGTCAAGAGTACTACAATCAAGTTCGATTCGGATGAACGATTGTGTCCAAGCTTAGGGGGCAGCAACAATTGGAGATAACGGAAAAATAAAGATGAGTATGGAGTTAAAAGTGGTAAACATATCCAGTGAAGTTATTTTCTACCATACATTGCGGAGTAAATGAAAAACAAGAAAAAAAAAACCCCTTTACATGTGCATTTTTATAGCATATAGTTACAATTTTGATTTGATTGGTTGTTGCTGTAGAAGCAAAATTCTGGACTTGTCGTTTATTCTTGTGCATATATTTATAGGGTCTCCGAAGTCTTTGCTGTGTTTTAGATATTCGTGGTAAACACAATATGTTCAGGGTATAAAAATATAACTGAAAATATGTGCAAAAGTTAATTTTTTAGGTATATAGGAGCCTATTATGTTTTTAGTCATTGCTATACATATGCATATACCACAAAGCACGTATACATATGTATGTACATACATATGCCTGTAAATAAGTACATTACTTTGATGAACAATTCCATTTTAGGCACTATTTAATAGTTCAATTGATTAACTTCAATTAATAGACTTATAGCTATACGCCTTGTTAAACAATTAATAACAAATTTAATTGTTTCGCATATTTGAACATGTACCAAAGCCCTTTTGAAAGAATTAAATTTATGTTCTTTAAATTTGTGTACTCACAGAATCCCATTTTCCCCAACCATGCATACATACATATTCCGTATCCTGTAAAGGAAGGCGTGAACATTGTAAGGCGCTGATGCGGTGTACCGAGGGTTCGTATTGATTTTTCACATACACTTGAGTGCTTAAATTTTGTCATATACTTTGTAACTTTTCTGAGCAAACACTTCTACATTCATATATTTATGATATCTGATTAATTTTATATAAATATTTATTTTTTCACTCATACATAAACTATTTTTGCGCAACATTACTAGTAAAATAACTTGGAAACTTTTTGTTCACAGGCACACAACGCGCAACACCAGCAAGCAGTACTTGTGTATCAAACTAGGTGCGCGAACACTTATCATCCCACATACCTTCTTCCTTTCCTTTGGGTATTCTTCTTGAAAAAAAATTCTGGGAGTCGTCGTTGCTTCAATTTCACTGCATCAGCGAGTTCACCATCATATGCATATAAATATCTATATGGCGAAGATGGTTGGAGTGAATCGTTAACGTTGTTACCTGATACAGGTGCTTACTAATGTTCTTATCAACTGCACTGATAACTACTGTGTTAATATTTATTCTGACTTATTACACATTTCAATTAAAATAGCACTATATACGCGAAAACACAAACATTCACCTCGCTTACTTAGTCTACTTTGCCAGACGGAATTTTATGGCACACTGAAGAACAAGCACGTAATAGTGCTGCCAGTTTGCAAGGCTCTTAAATCGGCAGAGCTGCCGTATTGTAAATTTCATTTTTCAATATTAGTTATTTTATTTGTATACTTTGAGATTAGTTAAATAATATTTTATACAATGCAAATTTTTTATTTATGATATAAAAAAATAACAATAAAGAGGGCTTAAATACTTATTGCAATATGCTTGAAAATATTTATTTAATAAATTTGCGCTGCGTGATGACCAAACACAGTTTCCGCCTTTTTTGCTTATGCAGCCAACTTAACTATCTAATTGAAAATTTTCAATTTATGTGAGAAGTTGGATTTTTATATAAAGTGAAAAATAGTTATGCTTTATTTATTCTTGTTATATGTTTTTATATGTTATCAATGCTATTCTATTTGCAAGCAAATAAGGTATTTACATATGTATATATATAAACAAGGGAACGGTGTATCAAAGTCCATTACGGAACTGCTCAGCTCAGTTTTTATATCCGGCTAATATCTACAACGCTCTTCGGGTCTGTTGTATAGTTTCGGTAAGTTAATTTTACTGGTTATACATTATGTAATATTTAATAAATATCGCGAACTTTCTTTCAAAATGATCTCGTCATTTAGGAGTTCAAGTTCATATTTCACTGAAGCGCTTGGCCTTGAGGGCGTGAGTTTCACTTAGATAAGTTTTTAAATAATGAATGATACATTTGATAATGACCTCAAAACATTTTACTAATATGGAAAAATTTGTTCGAGACTTAAAATGCATCTAATTACTTGGCAAAGGTGTATTAGGTTTGTCAAGAAAGTTTAGAAAACCCGCAAGAAAACGTCGGGAACACCGTAATGAATATATATAAATTATTACCTAGATGAGCTGAGTCTCTCTATATATAGGCGGGAATAGTCCCTCAGCTTTTGAGATATGGATCTTAAATTTTACAATCCTAAGATACCGCTCACTTGACGATACCGCCTATATCGGATCACTATATGATCATAAAAAGTGATCGCTCAAAATCAAGTTCAAGTAAGGCACATGTTTTTAGTAAAAAAATTTTGCATGGATTATTGAGAGCTATAAAAAAACGCTGAAGAAATTTTAAGATAGTTTAACCATTAAAGCCATACAAACTGATCGACAGAAATATTTTATTGTTTCCTAGAACAACTGCTAGTTCTAAGTTAACCTTATTTTCTTGTTCTTACTACAACCCCTTTATTGATATAAAGTATATAGTATCTGTAAAAAAAATAAATTATAACGAACTGTAAACATTGTATTCTGCGAACGGAACATGTTTTCCCTACATATTCTACTTAATTTTATTAATTTGTTACGAAAAATACAATTCATGTTTTTTTGCTCTTATCCTTAATGGTATATTTATCATACGTTTTTGTGGGATCATATGGCTCCCAACGGCTGGCTGGAAAAATATGCTTATTGCGTTCATACCATGAACGTAAGAGCACTTTGCCTGCGTGGGACTCTTCTTTCTCTACAGTGGCGTCGCTTATCATACGCACATCATCATGCACGTCGAATTGGAATAAAGGTCCACTCTTACCACGCGCTTTTGTTACAATGAAATCATAGAATGAGTAATGATGTGGCAGTATTAAATCTTCTTTGACATACATCAACTGATCAGCCATAACAGTTTTCAATTCATTGAATTCTTTGCGCAGTAACTCAAGACAACGTTGCAGAAATTGATATATAGAGTTACCTTTTTTCATAATAACACTACGTCTGTGACCTGAACCATCCCAGTAACTGAAGGTGATGGTAATTTCTTGATCCTTCAATGCTGCTTGTTGCATTACCCATTCTTGACGTAACTGTTCGCGTAAGCGGTTCTCTTGCTCCTCACGTTCACGATCCGGCAAAAATGATGTGTCTACTTCGGGATTTTTAAATATTTTCTTTTTCTTCGGCAGTATACTATCATCATCGATTTCTGTCCACTTTTTCTTAGGTAGCGCATCCTCCTTTTTAACTTCTTTAATGTCGTCCTCTTCACCGTCTTCCGCGGCAGCTTCATCATCTTCGTCGTCATTAAAACTGAATGATAGTGCTTGAATTTGTCGCTTTTGTTTATTTTTTTCGGCTTGTATGGCCTCCAGTGCGCGTTGTTTTTCACGTTCTTTTTCATCTTTCTTCTGTGCCAACTTTTTTTCACGTTCCCTCACAATATCCTCTTGTTTGGCTTTCATTTCATCCAAAGTGACCAGACCAATGGTCGAACTTTTAAGTTGCTGTTCCACGGCATCATAATGCGCTGCGAATTTGTTTTCAATCTTATCCAGCTTAAGCTCCTCCTCGATTTTTTTCTTGCGAAACTCAATCTCCTGCTGGGCAATTTCACGTTTTTTCATAAGTTGAGCGGCACGGCCCGCTTCACTGGCGGCCCCCTTGTAATGCGCCATTACTGTTTGTTACTTTGTTATCTTTTTAATGTACAAATTTATTAATTAAACACGGTTTTTTATATTTTGTTGTAATGTTGAAAAAATTTTTATGGTTTTCACTGCTTTTGCATTTTTGTAAGTGAAGTTGTGTTTTTGTTCTCGAAGTCAACAGCTGTTTATGTGCTTACTGTGACTGCGTAATTCTTCTTCTTCAGTTTGGTTTTTGTAGCTACCGTTGTGTAAGAAACGTAGAAATTAAATTTTATTTGGCATTTAAGAAAATAATAATATTTTTTGATATATATAAACCCAAATAATGAAATATCTGAATAAATGTCTTAAGCATTAATTAAGGAAAAAATTATTTTTAATTTTTAAAAAAGATTTCTCAACCTATAAATATTGTTTAAATGAAAATAATACTTTTTTTTAATAATAAATGGGAAATTGTTAAACTGAACATCATTTGTTTTGAAAGGTCTTAAAGACCGTAGAGCATTTTTATGAAACCTCTCTAAGCTTCATCAACAAATATTAGTAGTTGTAAAGTTGTAATTCCCTACAAAATATTGGCAGCACCTCCAGAGCTTTAAGTCAAACAAAAAGCTCAAATACTAACAGTACAATAACGAACAAATGTCCTTTCGGACAGTTGACGACGGGACACTCAATCGAAAAGTTCAGTTTGCCGGATAAATTAATAAAGTCCTAACCGTGTTTCAAACAAATATATAAAATACAAGTGAATATACTAAAATCTTCTTGCATATACTACAAAGTTGCAGTATTTCATATCATGTTTGGTGGCACAACAACAAGAAGAGGAAGAAAGTGAAAAGGGTAAATGCTAACCACGCAGAAGTCGGTAATTGGCAAGGCAACAACAAAAACATGCCAAGATTCGTTACATTGAAAACACTTAACAAGTCCTTTCGAAACTAAGTGGCAATAAAAATAATAATAAATGAAAGCAAAAAATTAATTGATGTTCAAGAAAGCGCCAAAGTCAATGAATCGCCTGTGAAGTTGTGCGGCGACAGCGGTTGGGCGGTTTGGCCGCAACGAAGTGTTGACACAGTCAGTGCGGAGTACTTAAATTGAAATAGGCATTCGCATTTGAATCGGAATGGAATAGGCATCGAAAGCGGTAACGGCAAAGGGATCGCTACATACAGTGGTGGGTGTGAAGTAAGTACAAGGACATTAGGACAAAGTGAAGCGTTGCGTAGCGAATGTTGGTGTGTGCGTGAGCGCGACTTTAAAGTTAACGAATGTAGCTTTATGTGTGCGTGTGTGTGTGCGCTTGTATACATTTGTGTTGCCATTTACCAAATGCTATGTGTGTATATATTGGCAGCCAGGCAGGCAAAAGGAAACGGAAATGGCATATTGAAGTACTAACAGTAAAAATAAAATCAACATGAAAAGGATATAAATCTCTAGATACTCAGATTTTTCGGCTTTTACACTTATAACCTAATTATTTTGTGCCATTACTGTGCATTTGATATCTGTCTGCCTGTATGTGCGAACAAACTAGTGCTTGTGACTTTCAAATCTACGTGTGTTGGTAAATGCATGCTTGTTTTTAAGAAAACGCCAGTGATTTTAAATCATGGACTCCTGCTGTTTGTGCTGCTTGACGTTAAATTCGCGTATTTACTAGCTGACTGCCTGTCTTTGGGGGGCTCTATGCTAAGGAAGCGAGTGGGTGCGTGAAAGGTGGCAGCTGCCATGTACCACCTCAGTTTCTTGAGTAGGTGTTTTTACAGCAAGAATGTTATTTATTGCTTTCATGTTGCGCTAGATATGACAAGCAACGCACATTCGTTTAAACTAGCTGTAGCTTATTTACGTTTTGGTATATTTGTATATTTTTTCCCAAATGTACATATGTTTGTATGTATGTATTGCATAGCGTTGTGCGCGTTGGTTTAAATAAATGTAGCGAGATGTTTCTATTTAACTGTTAACATTGCTTTAAATTGGCTAAGAGTTCAGCTTTCGTGTGAACGTAATTGTGTAGCATATCCCAAGGCGCTCATAGTATTGCCCTTTGGAAGAGTAAGTGAATTTAATCTCATTGTGGCAAGCATTTGTTTCTAAATTTAAAACATTTTAAAATATATTTCTTATTTACACGTAATTGACGTGTTTTTAACTTTATTTGCTGATTTGTAATTTTTTAATTATTTTTACAAATTAAATAAATTAATGTATTATATTAGCTAAAAGTATGAAATTATATTTTTTGTAATTAACAATTTATATTAAAAATATTATTAAAATCAATATTAAAATTAAATTTTTAAGTTAAAAATTTTTGTTGATACTTTTAGATAGTTTCAAAGAAAAATGATTTTAAAATAAGTATCTAAAAGTAGAATTTTTTTTTTTGTTTGTAATAAACATTTTATATTAAAAAAGATTTTGAAACGAGTATCTTAAAGTAGGAAAACATATTTTTTTGAAATTAAAAATTCACATCATTTTTAATATAATATATACATATGCAATTACAAAAAAAAATTTTAAATCACTTTTCTTTGAAATTTTTACATTAGCCAAAAATTCGAAAAATAAAAGTTGCATTCATTTAATAAAT